ATTCCACATGTCATATTATTTTCCTTCTGAACTCAGAGTGAATATTCTGCTATCAATGTCTAGCTATGACAGTTCGCGGGTGTGCTGCAATGCCTACGCATGTCGGTCTTCTTTTCACCTATATTGTCTCCGACGGCCTCACGAACACACAACGGCAGAAACTGAACGTTACACATACTTGAAACAGTCATTGATGGCATCTAAAAAAATTATATCAAGCCCTATCTTCGCGTCCGATTTCAGTTGCATGCATCGGTGCATTGTTGACGAGGAACGATACCTTGGAAAACAACACTAGAACCAGTCTTGGAATATTTCTTGCAAGAACTGGCGAAAAAAACTTTTGTAATTTCCATTATATTTAGATATTTTCATCATTTTATTTCAATTCGTTTTTTAATTCACCGATGACTGATTGTACAATAGAACGACTTTTTTCTAATTTTTTGTTTACGGATGGATGTTCTGGATTAATTAAATCTGTAAGGTCCCATAATGCTAAATTCGTTGCAAATTGATTAAATTTTTCTAGTAAAGAAAAGTCTTCGATCGTTCTTGGTGTTAAAATATTTCGTTTTTCTAACTCTTCCAAAAAATAATTTCGAATATTATCATCACTATTATCAAGAAAATATTGATATGAAGTAAAATATTCTTCTGAACATGGAAATGAACCAGCCCATTCCCAATCAACAATTCCAGTAATATGTGGTGATTCAGGATCATCTATTGATATTAAAATATTTTGAATATCAAGATCTCCATGTGAAAATACAAATGGTAAATTTGTAAATGATGGAAATTTTAATTTATCAAATTCATGAATAGCATCTAACATAGAATCTTTAATAGTTGCAAAAATTAGATCTTTTTTAAGAACAGCTGCATTATCTTGAACACGATCACGAATAAATTGTTCATAAGTAGACCAAGGTCCCAGTTGATTGAGATCCGTACCAATTTCTCCATTGATTTTGAATGCACCAATTTTATTAAAACGTGGTATTCGAAAATGCATTTGTTCAATATAATCAACTAAATCTCGTATAATTGATTTTTTTGCATTGACACTTAATTGTTGAGTTTCACATATTGAGCTCATATTTATACCAGGTAAACGTGTCATTAATATCCATTCAACCCCATATTCGTTATTTCTATCGGATGAATAAGCAAGAACTTTTGGTACAGGTATTGTTGTATATTTTGTAAGTAATTCTAATGCTTTGACTTCTGCTTCTGTTTTAATTTGATTCCAATAACGTCCACCAATTTTAAGAGCATAACGTTCAGAATTTTCCACAGTATCAATAAAAAATATCAAATTATTATAACCAGTTTCGATACATTCAAATGAGATTATACTCTTATTTAAATATTGTTGAATCAATGTATCAGCTTGAGCACGTGTAAATGATATTCCATAAGTAGGTCCATTGCGTTCCAATAGTTTTGAAGAATCACTACTACTACTGTGAGAAGACATATTCTATTTGTACTAAAACTTGAGGTCGTCATATAGTATATATAGAATATAATCGTTATTATGAAATTTAATGTTTAGCATGAGTCATGAGATAGAAGATTGTAGGTACGCTGTCAAGAAGATTTCAACACACGTTTCTTTCTTATCGTTGGTAGCAGATGCATTTTCTATTAGCGACATCTATAATAAATCATGTATTCATCCAGAATATTTTTTATTTTATATAGTCAGTAAAAGAAAAAAAAATGTATTTATCCTATGTATATTAGAGGCATCAACATAATCTTGTCATTCTGCTAAGAGCCACTTCAGTGAAAATTACAAAGAGCAATATCAACAAAATGTTGTTAGTCTACAATAGGTGTTCATCAGAACTTACACCTAGTAGTAAATATCGCATTCAATTGTAAACTAAGTGTAGACTTTTTTAATACCTAAATTATTGCGGAGGACACGTTGCTTCGAAGGCATTCATCTAATACATAGCTTCAGTAAAAGTCTACTAACATAGTGCGAGTCATATAGGATCAGTATTTCTTAGGTAATTGTTCCACGATTAATATAAAAGTGCATTTTAGCTATTGTTTTCCGTATGTGAAAATGTTTTTCCATTGTCATCATTCACCCGCTTATGCTATGATATGCCATCTAGCAAAAGTGAAAAAATATCGTTTGTTTTGAGAAAAATTAGTTATAACGTTCTTCTATATTCATCATGAAAGATCTGCTTAAGAAATATTTCTATGATCTAACAGTATACTATTCAAGCCATTGTGACTTCATTAAAACTGTTTATTAAAGAAAATTTTATGCTTATTATTCATTTGTTCAAATGATTAACTAACAAATATTGAAGCAAGCACTCTACATTTAATATTATTTATTGGTTATTCTGTTTTCCAATACTATTCACGACGAGCGTCTTTTTTTTTTTATTTGTTATTATTCTAAATTTTTTTTGATTTATTTTGAATTTAATGAACTTTTATCGAACAAAATGAAACAAGATAATCTTTATATCATTAATTTCGATAATAGAACTCATTCATCATCAAAATTTTCTGTATATCGAGTATGTTCTAAGTTTATACTCAAAGTAAATTCACCATCAATTCTAATATCTAAAAGAAAAAAAAACAAAAGGTCTAAATTTATTTGCAATTTGAATGAGTAAAATATATTTGTAATTATTAAAACTACATTTAGTATTGGCGGCATTTATATAGACAACAACGTGCATTAATTATTGCAATCTGTCTACTTTTTCTGTTTATTTATATCAATTATTATAAAACTTCTATAAATTCGATTGACTTATAATTCACATGAGTATCATCGAGATGTAATAATTAAAGAAAAAGAAGCTTGGCGAAAAAAAACAAACTCAAGTAAGTTAAATATTCTCGTTCTTTAAAAAGATAAAAACAAAAAAAAATAATGTTTATTCAAAATGTCTTATCGCATGAGTCTTTTGAAATTCTGTTTATTCATCTTTATTTTCTATTATCATACTAAAAAAATAAATCACATTCGATGTTATCATACTTCTTTATATCAATGTTATGAAAATAAATTTATATTTTATTTATATGAAAGGTATGAATAAAATTCATAATAATATTATTGTATTTATTTAGGAGAATCTATTAAGCAAAACAATAGTTCAAAAACATGATTTTTCAAGTAATTTTATTGTTCTTTTCATTATTAATATATGGTAATGAACATTTTTGATAAGCTCCAACAAATGAACGTCAAATAGCCGTACGAAATGCAATGAAACATGCTTGGAAAGCATATCGAACATATGCCTGGGGTTATGATGAATTACAAACACTATCTAAAAGTCCATCAACATGGTTTGGTCTTGGTTTAACTATAATTGATGGAATTGATACATTATATATTATGAATATGACTGAAGGTTTGATCCAAGAACTCTGCTGGATTTCGTGACCTATCTTGAGCCAGGATATCATATCTATGGTTTTGTAAAGCGATTCGAGGAACATAGAATAGTTTATAAAACACTCAAGTTTTTCTAGTATTTTGATATGCTGAAGGTTCATGTACTGGTTATAAAAGGAAGTCTACTATTGTTATGACATCTTTTCCAAATTTTTAATTTTAGTATTCATGTTTTAACTCCCTTCCTAAGGTTCTGGAAGTCAAAATTTTTTCTCAGTTATAAATTAGGTATTCATATTAATTTACTGAGGGTGCTGCACTGGTTGTTATTGACACAAAAACTTTTTAATAGAAACGTTAAGTATTGTTAAAATATCGTCAATATATCGGCACTATCACATAAGAATATTAGCTATTCTAGGAAAGAGTCTGGCGAGTTGACAATGAGTTTCTGTTCTTGCAAAAGATATTCTCTATGAAACGTATAGAGCTCGATGGTATGCACTTTTTGAGAGTGTTTCACAACGGTACTCGCTTGTTTGGTTGTGTATACACTGAATCACACTGAAATATCAAATAATTAAGAAATAACTTAGATTTAAGACTCGATCGAAATAAGTTTAGAAATAAAACTTTCACAAATTTATCTTAGAACATCTTAAGTAACACGATATGTATGAATACCATATATTTATATACCATTCCATGCACCATGAATTTCTCTATAAAGCCATAGATATAATATACCGAATGACGATAGATCATCGGATCCGACCAGGTTCTTTCTTCACAATCATCTTCTTCTGTTATGTTATAGAATATAATGAAGCACGTGAATGGATTGAAAAATCGTTTAATGTTGATTCAGATTTGGTTGATAAATACAATTCAAATTTTGAAGTAACAATACGAATTTTAGGTGGTCTTCTTAGTATCTATCATTTAACAGCTGATGAAATATTTTTAAAACGAGCTGTAAGAAAATAAAATAAAATAGAACTCTTGAAGAATTGTTCCATACATATGTTTTCAGATTGAATTAGGTGATCGACTTCTGTTAAATTTCAATACGCCATCAGGTTTACCTTTAGCAGAAGTAAATATTAAACGAAAAATGGCTAGTGCTTACGGGTATGAAAAATTTCTTTTTTCTTTTTTTTACCATCTTTAATTTCTTTGTATAGGTGGACTTCAAATTCAGCAACAGCTGAAGTCGGTACTGTTCAACTTGAAATGCGAGATTTATCACAAGTAACTGGGGATAGAAAATATGAGGTTTAAACCATTTGATGAATTTATGTGAGAAATTGAAGAATAGTCTTTTTTTTGTACAGAATGTAGCTGATAAATCAGCAACGGCACTTCATAGTCAGCCAAAAAAAGATGGTCTTGTACCGATATTTATTAGTCCTTTAACAGGACGGTTTTCTGGTGGTGTTGTTTCATTTGGTGCACGTGGCGATTCATACTATGAATATCTACTTAAACAATGGTTACAAACAGGACAAAAACGATCTGTGTAAGTATTATTCAATGAAACAAAGCGGAATATTGTTGTTTAGATAATTATCATATAGATGGAACTAAATGAAAAAAAATTCTAAAGATTATTATTATTTATTAGCTTATTTTAATTTTATTTATGCTTCCATTCGACTAGTTGACATTGGTAAAAGAAGTTGAGAGTTTTTCACGAAATAGCATGACGTTTTAGAATGATTCTTTCGTGAAATACAATCTAAAAGAAATTTTGAAGTAGAGAGAGAATCAGAGACATTTCCTAAAAACTGAAGTCTACTTCAAGATAAATGTAAAAAATGAGTTAGACATGCAACGAACTTGAACTCTAGCTCGATATTCGAAAATTATCCAACGAGTTCGGACAGTGTTGAGTATTTTTCCTTGCGTTTTTTGAGGTAAATAATCAACTACGTGAGCACCCTAAGGTTTAGCTAAGTCCAGATCGAAGTATTTGTAAGCGTTATTGACTTTTCTGTCTTTTCGCTTAATTTTGCTTTTTTTTAGTTATCTGAAAAAATCGTAGTCAAGGTCGAACTTGAAAGTTCGAATTCAGTGCATGTCTAACATGAATGTATTTTGAATACTTGCTGCTTGTCCTTCCTGCACACTAACTGAACTCTGAATGGTAGACTAGGTGTATATTCAGTGTTCTTTTAATCTCTGTTAGTCTTTGTTTTATGACACTGAATTATCATTTATGTGAGGTATGCATCAGACCCGACCTATCACTGGTAAACTGGTATTCTTTTTTCATAGAATGCAAGATAATACGTGTTAAAATAAGAGTTCTTTTAGTTATCTTCCAGGAAATTTTCTTCTATTTTGAGTTCTCTGAAACTTTACTTTGTTTTATATACATAAAAAGATGATAGAAGAACAACGAAAAGTACTTCGACACTGAGTTCGTAGTTTTGATATTGATTCATGAAATGAATTGTGTGAAATAACAATTCATTACATATCGAATAAAGATTTCAAATATAAACGAACAAAAATTTTCACCAAGGAGTAATCGTCTAGCAAAACATTCTAATAAAAAATGAAACTATTTGTTGAAATCTATTAATAATTCTTATAGTATCATTCAACAAAAAAAAAATTTCTAATACATACTTATTTTGAAGGTGCTTTGCTTTTCTGTTATATCAATTCGATTATGTACATGTGATAAAAATGAACTCAGTGGAATTCGATAGAGAACAAAAAAAAACTTCCTTCAATACTTTTCTATCGAATATCGTTGACCTTGCTTACACAAAAGGTAGTAATTCGAAAACCGACATATATGCTGATAATTTTTTCTGTTCATCATGTAAGCAGCTTTATTGTGTTGTACAAATTAATCCCAGAAGTATTATCCTAACAGTATTTTCATGATGATTTGAAGATTACCAAAATCTTTCTAATGTTTTGGAATTAAATTCGTTCAAAATAAGTGATACAAATGCATTCATGAATGGATGGGAAAGGCAGAAAGGAAAAATGTCGAAAGGGAAAAATATCGAAAGTAAAAATATCGAAAACAAAAGTATGACATTAAGATGAACCAGTAAAGTTGAAGATGAGAGTGAGGGAGATTGGTACTTCAATATACTCTTGTTTTCATCATTTACATCCATCTACATTTCTATTATTTTTGTTTTCGATATTTTTATTTTCGACATTTTTCCCTTTCGATATTTTTCCTTTCTGCCTTTTTCCATCATACCGCATTCATCACCTAGTAAAAAAAATCTTTTTTAAGAAGTATTTTCTATCTATGTACTGAGTGTTGACCAAAACGGTAAATGATCTGAATCAACATTAAACATTATTCATTGAGTCACATAAAATAGACACTATTTACAAATAAAAATGTCCTGTTTTAGACTTATAGTTTTTAGATAAAAGAGAGTCAGTTTCTCAGACTTGTACTTATAAAGTCAATTTCTTTTCGCTATGATAAAACGATCTGATGAATCTCTAACTTAAAAAAACTCAATTCATTTTTATTTTAGTTTTTGGGACGATTGGATTGAATGTATTGGTAAATAGACACAAAATCAAAATGATAAAAAAAATAGTATCTTTCTTTATTAGGTGGTGTACGAAAACATCTTTGGCACCTAGCCTATCCGGAAAAACTGTATTTCGTTGGTGAACTCATTGGCATGTCAACTTTTTCACCTAAAATGGTAGTCATTCATCTTTTGAAACAATATGTAATAGAAAAAAAGCCACTTAGGACCATTTAGCTTGTTTTCTTGCTGGTAATATGGTACTTGGTTGGAACTTCCAACGTGACTTAACTTATCTTCTTGATATGGCAACAGATTTAACTGAAACATGTTATCAAATGTATGCTAAACAAGCAACTGGTCTTAGCCCTGAAATAGCTTATTTTAATATTGATTCGAATTCGAATGAATCAACAATTATTGTTCGAGTATATTTATCTATTTAATATATATATATATATTTTTTTTTTTTAATTAACTCTTTCTTTTTTTTATTTTAAAAAGGATAATGATGCACATAATTTATTACGTCCAGAATTGGTTGAATCATTATATTATATGTATCATATAACTGGTAATGAAATGTATCAAGACTGGGGTTGGAATATTTTTCAATCATTTGAAAAATATACTCGACAGGATGAAGGTTATTCATCAATAAGTGATGTGCGAAATAAAGATGATGTTCGACCACGTAATAAAATGGAAAGTTATTTTTTAGCTGAAACATTGAAATATTTTTATTTATTATTTAATCCGACAAATTTATTTCCATTTAATCAATGGTTATTCAATACAGAAGCACATCCATTACCAATTTATAATAATTAATTGCGTTTTATTCGTTATTGTTTATTATTATGTCTAATTGACAATATTTTGTTTTAATTGATTACTGGTGTAATGATTTCTTATCATAGTTTTACAATATTTTTATTGAATCATGCATTTATGTCAGGGTTTTTTTTATCTTTAGTAAATTGCTATGACGTGTGAGCGTGTGCAAATAGAAAAAGAAAACTTTGTCATGCTGACAAAATGATTTTTCTTATTTTGCTTTTAGAACGATAAAAACCTTGTTTTTTTTGTCTTCCGATTGTATTAATCAACACCGTGTGCTATACTCACGATTTAAAACATGTCAGCAAATTTACCGGTAGGAGAAAACATTCTGATATTTTGATTTTGATAACTAATCAAAACTTTATGTGATATGTTTACTGTTTATTCTGAGATATGCTAGTAGTTAAGTGTTTTATCTAAACAATCGTTGCGTCTATGAAAGAAATCAGAGAATACGATAGCAACATCAATTGGGTAGCCGAAAATTCGTCTGCAGGACTTTCGATAATGTGAATGTTTCGTTGACATTAATAACAGAGATGTGTATCAATTGTATATGCATAGATCATGCTCGTCTATATCGTAATCATATAATTTATTTGTTGAAATGTTTGAGATAATCATTATTTGATAAATATCTATCATAACTCGTATTGCAACACGTAAGACTAACGAGTAAATTCTTCCAATCAATTCATCGTTTTATATTCAGAACGATGTGCATTATGTAAATTTTAATGAGCTATGAATATCTTGCAAAGATTTAGGGATTTTATCTCATTGCTACGAGGAAACTACATTTTTATGGAGTTTTTAACTCAATCAAATCTTTTTTTGGTTGGATTATAAGATACAGCTATGACAAAAGTGTGTCTTTTACATCTCTAATATACACTAGCAGATTCCATGTTCTTACTTTAGGATAGGGACACATCAAAGGACTTGTTGATTCATTAGAGTTTACATGATGGACCTAGTTCTAAATGAAAAAGTGATTAATCATTTGTAGAACTATTCTCGTAAGCAGATCGAAATATTATTTGAACTTGTCGAACTTGAATAAAAGACTGTTGCTAATAGAGCAATATCTCTTTCTTGTCTTGTTAGTGAAATTAGTTGTTGGAGAAGAGAAAAAAACCAATATTTTTTAAAATTAGATTTATTTCGTTCACTTTCAAACTTATCACCAGCTTGTAATTGAGTTAATCTGAATGAACTTTCGTTAATTGATGCTATTCTCACTTTTTTATTCTATGCCTTGTTTTTTTCTCTCTTATTTGTGCTTCGTAGAATATGTATTCTCTTCTATTTCTTTATTCTCGTATTTTTTAATTGAAAATTGACTCGATTATATTCGAACACACTCCAAGTGCGAACAACAAGACGCATATCAGTAACATTAGCGATAGTTCTCACATGTATGCTGTATTTACAGTGCTTTGCAACAATTGGTGAAAGTCCACCGAACTTTCGTCAAAACTTGACGTAGAGCAGGAACCTCCATCATTCACATAGAAAAACATATAAATAATAATACAAGACTGATGACGGAACTATAATGAATATTCTATGATATGCTGATTATTTATGAAAAAACAATATTTCGACAGAATAGCATAAAAACAAAAAAAAAGGAATGTGAAGTTGACTGTATAAAAATATAGACTTGAGATATCTTCGTGATTGAAACAATCTCACTAAATCTACAGTCTTCAATCACTCATGCTCAAGTATGTAACAGTTTTATTACAGCATTTCTACAACTATCTGATACTACTAGTGGAAGCTATTTTAAAAGTGCTGATTTGAATAAAGAGTATTCAAATCGTCTGATATTTTTGAAGATATATCCAGAGTATGGTGGAATTATATAGCTCAGGATCATAATGTTTTGTGTAGCTGACATATATTTTAGACAAAAAATAGTGCGTGTAAGTTTTAAGTCGAAGTTTTGCGATTGTTCGCGCTACAGATCTTGAGAGCCAATATTGAAGATCATCGAAAACGTTTTCATAACTTGTAGTTATGCACGTACAAATAAGAGATTGACACAGCGAACAAGATTGGTTGAAATTTACATAGAATATGAAAGCAAGAATGTAGTGATCGGATTCTGGGGATTGCTTAGTAGAGTAACAGTTGGTTATGACCGAAACTAGAAAAGCCCAGCCATTGGATTCGATCATCGGATTTTGACTTCCATTTTGTTATGATTTTCCCCGCGTTTTCCGATGGGAAACCTTCAGAAATCTGCTGATTCGGGTGTTAAAATTATTGACCTGAGTCCAAATAAAAATCGGAAAACAAAATATATAGAATGAAGACTCACAGAGAATTTTGGGTTACCATATTAGCTATTTTTAATTTTCTGTTTGATGATTATCTCATGAAATCATTATGGTACTGAGTTGGAAATTCCATCATAGCCTGCCTACTACAGCCCTGATATGTCCTGAAAATCTCATGTAAACTGAATTGTTTCTGGTTTGATCTCAATTTTGAGCTGAAACTTTAAAAGAATTGGTTAACAGCTCTCAACTTGGTTTTTATGACTTACTTCGTAAATAATTACGTACGTATAAAAAAATAAGCTCTTTCAAGTGCTAGTTCTTGATACGTTGTTTTTCGAGAAAGATTTTGGATGGGGTGCTCTTATAAAATAATCGATTTAAGTTAATATTGAGTACATAAAAATAATATTTTGGATATCATCAAATGCTTTTTCGATATTTTATATGGATGACTTTTTCTTTTATTTAGGATGCCGATCAAATCATACTTGAACCGTTACTCAGTCCATTATTTCCCAAAGCAACCGAAATACTTTTTTATACAGGTAACACATTAGCATCACTTAAGTTAATGAAAAAAACCAATAAAACTATAACTGAAGAGGTAATATTGAAAAAGTATAAAAGTGAATTTTTTTAATTTAATTTTTTTTTTATTAGATTATTGAATATATTTCAACGGTATTACAAACAATGAGACTAGAGATGGATGAAAAACAATTTCAAGTATAATTATCTGATAAAAAAGTAAATGATTTGTTTTATTGAAATAAATAATTTATTTTTAGAATGAAACATATGTTAAATTTCTTCCAATATCTGATGAAACACCAATAACAAATAATTATAGTACTGCAGGTTCTGATACTGAACAATTAACACGAGAGGATTTAAAATTCTCCGGTAAACTTTTTTTTCGAATTTTTTTCATTCAATACATGTTATCTTTATATTTCAGTTAAAATATTTCTTCGTTCACTAGACCCGGAAGTATTATCACATACAATTGATACAGGTTTTGTTTATATTTCAATAAAAAGAGGAAGTCTGTTAAACGATAGAATCGGTGTTCCTTTATGACTGACATATTATGAATTTTGGCCAGAATAATCAGGTTTCTTATTAAAAACCGAAAATATATTTCTAATCATCATAGAAAACTGAGTCGATTTATATGTATCGCAAGACTTTTCAAAAACCTTTATTTTTCTTGAAAAATAAAGTCAATCAAAACATGGTTTTCATTATTTATTCATGTATCATATTGGATTTTCCTAGATTTTTAAAAATCTAGAAAAGACTTTCCAAAATGAAGCTAACGTTGTGACTGATTTTACTTTTTGGTATAACCTAGAGCAGGATGGCTAGGACGAAATTTTTTGATAAAAATAAAAATTGTCGGAAGATTTTGTGATACCTATGATCGACACACTTTTCTCTAGTAGTTACAAAATACATAATCGGTTTTGACAAGGAGGCTGGCAAATCTGACGAAAATCCGTCAAACATTTGCCATGAAGGACAACTGATGGGGTTCATGAACATTGTGCGTTTGACTAAAGTGCTTTGTCAATAAATAAAGCTCAATGCAATAGTCTCATTTTGTAGAGCTTTAAAAAGTCTATTAAATCAGATAAAATTTACAATGGGATTACTGCTTTAGGAACACAATAGTAAGAGAATATTTTCATGAATGTTCTCCCATTGTATATATAAACGAGCAATGTCATCTAAAAGTAAAAGGAAAAGAACAATATTTTGTCCAGCTCACTTATACTCTTCTATAGCAGAAAGAAAGATCTTTCATCTGGTATATAATTCAAATTAAACGACCTGAGAAAAGAAGACAAAGTTTCTATATAAACACTAGATTGCATAATGCTATGAAGGATAGATAATACAAAGTTTTGAGTCAGCAGCCCGCAGTATAATGTTTTAGATCTTCTGACAATCAATTTTAGACACTTGATTTGACTATTGGGGAAATAAGTGACTCAACTTCGCGAGAGAACCGATTTCATCGCTTAACGACTTCTCACTTCTTCTTTTATCTTTTGTTGATTTTTTGTTGTTTTTGCTTTAGTTTTAAATGAATTAAAAGAAAACTATTTAGAAAGTATTATGATATCATTATCAAATTTTGGTGTACAAATAACATTAAATGATTTTTTACCATTATGGCGTGTTATTGAAGATTATATAGATAAAAAAAAAATTTTATCAGCTGGTGTTTGTGATTTTATGCTTCCATTATTATCTGATTTATATGATGCTTGTAAAGTAATAAATTTAAAAAGAAAAAAAAATCAATTTCGATCAATTTTCTGTATTTTAGCATAAACCATATGCAAATCAAATTAATTTAGGTGTTTGTTGTTCAATTCCTGAAGAACTAAATAAATATGTTAAAGAACATAATATACAACTTTTAACACATAGTGATCCGATTGGTAAAATTTTACAATATTCTTCCATGTACTTTTTTCTCTAAAAAAATTAATATTTTCATTTAGAGGTTATCAATGAAACGGATTTTCAAGAAGTTATACGAAAATATTGTCATGAATATGATTCAATAAATTGGAAACCATTATCTATTGTTCGTTATAATTCCGTTATTACTAATCGAGGTATTATTAAAACAAAAGGATTTTTTATATATGCTAAACGAGAACTACGCATGAATTAAAAATAAATCAAGTATTTCAATCAAAGACTTTTTTGTCGTAATATTTTTGTTTATATTATATGTTTATTCTTCTCATAACTATAAAACTAATTATTAACATGTACTTGCTTGCGTATGCAGATTGAATAGATCATTTTTAAATACGAAGTGTTCTCATATATGAAATGATGTTTGCTATTTTATATGCAACAACAACATTGATAATAATAATCGAAACTTATTGTGTTCTTAATAGTTCATCATCCAATAAACAAAACAAAATTCTAAAAGTTTCAATAAAGTACCATTGAAATAATTATCTGAGATTATGAACAAGATTTATCCGTCATAAAGAGAAAAACGATAGTGCACATAGATAGGATATATTGTTTTTATCGAAGAAGTTTAGTGCATATTGTGAGATTGGCATTGTGAGTCCATTATTGATCATATTGTACTTTATCTATATAATCAATGACAAAAATCCTTGCAAACCCTATATTAATATATAAAATATAGAGGTTTAGAAATTAAAACAAATATATATTGATTTATGAACATAGTACAAGAGTGAATGCTGATAACAAATATAAAGATTTGATATGAAAATAAAGCTTCATGTTGAATGAATTACGAGAATAGATTATGTAAGTGCTGATTATGACACTACAGATATGATTAAATTTGGAAGCAATCATTCCACTATGGGGATAAAGGATAGACCATGAATGACCTATTCGTCTTGAATGACATAAAAGTTCAATTTATTGTTAATTTGGTTTTTTTTATGCACTTGTGATGTTATTTTATCCGTATAAAGCTGGAAGCATAGAGTGTGGGTGTGGGTATGAGGATGCATTTATTGTCTCTGAACCCACACTCACACTCTTACTTAATGATAAAACCGATATGTGTATCAGGCTGATATGATGCTTGAACTGACAAAGTGAAGAATAAAATGGTATATGCTGTTTTCTATGCCGTGTTTCGTATCGATTATCAACTGGAGAAAAGAAGCTATATATTGAAAGTGTATCTGATAGTTTACATAAGTTTGTCCAATGTAATGATGTAAATAAATCAAATAAATTGGTAGAATCGTAAATCTAAAAACAAACATTTCCGAAATGATAAAGTATAACATAGCACACATCAACTATAAAATTCTTATCATTTTGATTTATTCTTTCATGTAAATTTATATTATGTAGATTATTTAAACCTTTCTGACAATGTAATATAAACTTATAACGCTCAGGATATATCGACACTAATCGAAAATCGATTCACAATGGTCCTCATTTTATTAGTCCGCTCTTTTTGTTGAGAGCTTTGATGATTTTAAGAATCATGAACTTCTTCGATTAGTTACATTATATTTAATTTTCTGTTTAAAATGATAATAAATGACCACTGAAATATAGAACGAGAATGCTTTACCCTTCATCTTTCCTACTACAGATCCTCCTACTTTCGAAGCAGATTAAAAGACCATTGATCAAAAGAAAGAGCTTTGTTATATTGGACAGTAAGAGAAAATCATGCATTCATTTGTATCAAACTCTTGTTTGATGAATGATTTTTTTTAATGCTTTACTTATGTAAAAACGAATGAGATGTTTGAGCAGCGTTCACTATCCGATCGTTTATGTCGATTGTCTACAGAAGCATAAGGGTGTGGGTGTAGGTAATAGTCTTACTCTCGCATACACAGGCACATCCAGACCCACACACTCACACCCACACACTATCATATAAGATAACATGTGGAGGTTTATGCTTGACTGAATTTCTTTCCAATTTTAGAAATTTGCCATTATGATGTATTCCTCTATATGTGTATGGCACCATGTAATGTAGTCTTTTTATGGAGCACATAAGATTGTTGAGCATTTTGTGAAAATTAGTTTCGGAAAAAATATTACTGATAGTTTTGAATACCATTTACCAAATTTTTTTTAATGATTTTATTACATGATTTTCGAGAGTCTTGTCGAAATGAATCAATCCTTCACACTTTTTTGTTTCTCTAATTTATTCAAATAAAGACTACTATAGAAGTCCTAAATAGTGTGAAAAGTTCATTTGAACAAATGCATAAATATTGTGCAAAATAATATGTGAGACAGAAAAGATAGGATAATGTAAGTGTGGCTTCGATCCTTTGGAATATAGCAAAATTAAAAGAAAAAGTTTCAATTAAAAGTTACTAAACAATGGGAATTCTATAAATTAACACTGAATTGGAACTTATCTAGTATAAATAATTAGCATATTTCTCATGAGAGGAACGTGACATGCATGATAGTTTTGAGCACTTTTCTTGTTCTCATGGAACAGCGTGATGATCTACCGATTGAAAGTGCTATGCATTGGCATCGAAAGCCTAAAGGTGTGTAGTGCTTTGTCTTTGATGGCTTTTATCTCAAGCGGCGACGAGACTAATATTTTACTTGACGTATCTGAAGATAAGGTAATCTAGATATCATGATGCTCGACAATGAGTATGTTTAAAGTGCACACCTTGATTTCGTCATGACATGTTCAGAAGGTTTTATTATTCATTGGCAACTCGATTGGAAGAAGAAGGTATTGATTCTCCGTCTTCCTCTTGAATACTACTGATATAATTAAAAGCGATGAACATTAAAGTTCATTTTTGGAAAAAACTTCGATTTACTTGTCATACAATGCGTAAAAGTGCGGATAGAATTTTATTTTGAACTATGAGGAAGAAGAATCGTAGAAACCAAAGAAAGAATAGGAATCTTAGCGTTCTCGCTAAAATCTTATCTTAGATACGAAGAAGAAGAGTTGAAAAAAAGAATGAATAGTTATGAAATAAGAAAAATGCTTTACATAACTGTTTTTGATCTTGTTTGGGCTATTTAGTTCAACATGCGCTCCATTCTTTGTATAATTTATTTGTGATTCAGCATAAAATCACAAGAGGAACTATATCCTCAGTGAGAATAATCACTTTTTCAAACCAAAAACAAACAAAGATCTCTTTCTTCAGTCTTCAATTTTCCTGGGATAGATGTGTTTTCTTGCGTAACATACTCAATGTAGAATTCACTTTTGCTATAATTTGTTTTTTCGTGTTTAACCAGCCACTGCAGTGTCCGGGCAATCGGTTTACTCATGCGTATGGACCACCTCCAGTCCCACATTTTGTCATGCTCATCTTTATTGCTGAACACTAGGTCGCAACTACTATGAAGCAATTTTGCTCAACGTATCTACAACCGACAATTATTCGATAAGAAGCAGTAGTGATTTGGATACATGAGGATATATCTTCAACAATAGCTTCGATCCTGCTTCGGATGTGAATTAGCTTGAGCCATACAGACAACTTGAATATTTCACTTTAGAATCATTTTCACGCATTGAATAAGGTGTGATGATTACTGTTAAACGTGAGTTTTCTGAATTCTTCTACTGCTTAGATTAGTGTCCTTTCAGAGATGGAGTTTTCGTTGGAGCTCATCAATATTCACATCTTAGCCATAATAGAAATCAGTATCAATAATGATTACTGGCGGCTTATAATGAAGATTTGATAAAATTAATTAATGTCAGTCGGTGCAAATGATCAAAATATTATCGGTACTTGGTATGTACAAATTATTTTTCATTTAATATTCGAAGCTGAGCTTAAGTAGATACTTGCAAATTCATATTACAAAAGTCACTGAATACTCGGGACAAAATACATCTCTTGACGACTTTCCTAGAACAGCTAGTAATGTTCTGAAGCACCTTGCATGTGTCAGAAACTTCTAGTCTTATAAAAATAAGTGTCCTTTAAAAAAAAAATATTTGACTCAGTTGGACAATGTTCAACCTTTTGAATAAGGTTCGTGAATGATTGGTGATTTTAATTTTAGATAACATATCTGTTGCACTCGTGTCTCCCAACAACCTCATCGATTATCGAGATTGCGTTGGTCGAAATTTCACTTTTCTCGTCACGGGTAATGTAAGCGGTGCCGTTTGGGGTACAAATATTTACACTGATGATTCCACTGTGGCCACAGCTGCTGTACATTCAGATATCATTCATCATAGAGAAAGTCTGGCTCTTATAATAATAATTCTCTCTGAACAAAACAGTTACACAGGTTCGGACCGAAATGGCGTCACTTCCAGTTCGTTCGGCCCTTGGTATGGCAATTATCAATTTGTTCGATTCTTGTGATTATAAAACTGACTATCTCTGCGAACTTTTGAGTAATCAGATTTCAGACGCTTACATTCACTTTCTTCTCTATACACCTCAATCACAAACATTTTCTTTGTCTCATTGTTTACTATTAATAATTGGTCTACCAACAATATCTTTCTTCAGAGATACACCATAAGCTTAATTATAGCACATCAATGTCATACAGCTGATTGTTGATGCGATGAAATATTTAAGAAGACTTTCGAATTCTGAATTAGCACTGCATAAAATGACACTGTTTACAGAAAAAAGGAACTTTAACAATTATAATGATCGATTGAGTAGAATGAAAGAGATGTTTCTGTATGTTCATTTCTCAATCAAATTTATTCTAAAGCCTTCATGCTTCATACTACGAGAAACCACAGTATGAAGAGTGAGTCTGTCACAAAATCAGACCCGTTCGGGCATTAACAAAGAAGCGGGTTCACAGGACTGTCTAGTCCTCCCATCTACCTTTCAGAATAGACTACCACCCTCTAGTGAAATGGCAGCCCTTGTACAAGACAATGTCTGAGAAAAAATTCAAAATTTCTTTTAGAAAGCTCTGTGCTTGTTAATTCGTACTTTCCAAAAAAATTGAATTTTTAGGACCTATGAATTAATAATTTTGAAAAATTTCTGATTTGCTCTTGGCTTTTGGTGCAGTCTCTTCTTGCATTTTCATTCATTAATAACATATTTCTAACGACAGAACACTTCTTCAGCAAAAAAAGATGCTTGAAAAACATAAAGTAAAAATATTAACCATTTATTATCATAATCAAAATCTTTTATTAATAATCAGCGG